AGGGGGAGGCGAGGTGCTCCAATAAGAGAATAAGACGCTAAGAATTGAATGACAGCAATAATCTCACAAGCTGACGGATGGGTAAATACAGATGGACACAGCAATGAAACGCTCAATCTCAGGAGCTCAGTCCTTCTTCTGCAACAACACAACACAATCACAACAGTCTGGAAGATGGGCTGTCGCTGTCAAGATGTATTATTAGGTGCAATATACTTGCACAGCAGGAGGAAAGTGTGATCATGAAGTATTTGATAACGCCATAATGCCACAGGAGGAACCTGTAGGATTCATTTACAGCTGTTCATCGTTCACTTATTTCTACTTTGTGGCCGAGGTTTTTCCCCGCCAAATTGTTTGGTCTGCAGGTGGCTCAAAATATCGAACGTAACATAATCGTAGTCGGCACAGAACCCGAGTGTGAACTCAAGTTACTGAGAGGAACTTCTAACTGATAATACTGATTCCTGTATGACTTTCATCAGGAAAAGGAGACTTTGCGCTAAGGCACCATGAACTATTAAATATATAATCGGGGTTCCAAAAAAAAAAAGCTTAGCTTATTATATTCTGGTTGTATGTGGATTCAAAGTGCTCGCATTCTTTGGATAGCATCCAGCCGAGAGGACACGGTGCCCGTGTGAGACATGGTGGTGAATGCCAGTCACCAAACACTGTCTGTGCAGTACCTGAATAGGACTTTGACTTCCTTTAGAGTGAAAGCCTGTAATAATCCCTCCCACTTGGCAAGTCTAAAGCCGCTCTGCTGGAAGTCCTCTAAAAGCAGAGCGAAGCTCCTTCTTTTCTTCCCCCCTTTTTCGCGCTCGTACACATCGTCTCCCACAGGTGTCTCGCTCCATCTCGCATTCACACGGATGCACACGGGAGGCCGTGACTGACAAGGTGAGGGCGCGCGGGTGAAAGAGGAGGATTACCATATGTAAAGAACCGAGGTGCCGAGGTCGGCCTTCTTTGTCTGTGGGTGAAGCGGGACGGGCCTCATGGGATACAATGGGCGCGGGGAGATGTGCACGGAGGCCATTAAAGGCTACAGACGTAGCAGGACGTGACAGGCGGCAAGGAGGTCTCACTGTCTACCCAGGTGCGCTCCCTAGACGCGGCGAGGACTCCCTGCTGAGGACGGGGGGGCGGCGTGGTGATCCCATGAGCGATGGGAGCCACGGCGAGTGGGGTTTCTCATCAGGATCAGATTTCACACCAATGTTATGGTGGTGCTTTTATTTCACATAGGGAGGTGTGGGCACGAGGAACTCAGCTGGTCATTAAGTGATAGTTTAAATATATACATATTTTAGGAGGAAACTATGGTGAGGTACTGAAGGGTATTGGAAGAAAAGGCGAAAATATATTTGGTGGTTCAAACCTTTCTTTACATAACTCACTTAGAAACATCTTCAGCTTGATGAAAAGCTGAAAAATGTCAACATACAATCACTGGATGTGCAGGGACCCAGCAGTAGTAAACTAAACTAAGATTCCAGCAAAGCAAATTATTTTTCAGTGGGAAATCATGAATTTGAATCCTTAATTTCCCCGATTATCTTTGATACTAAATAAATGCAGCAACAAACGGCCGTCTGGAGGTTTGACAAACTGCTCCGTGCGTACGAAAACATAAAGCCCCTCGCTGGGAGGCATCCGACTGCTGTTCGTGGCGTTAGCAGATGTGCTTCCTTGCTTCAACTCGATGGTGACATGGTCCTGTTTGGGTTTTCGGCAGGCAGCTGCTGTTCCCTGCGGCGGCGGCGGCAGTGAGAACCGGACCGGCCGACTCTCCCCGCTGATGACAGCTTTGACACACGGGGGCTGTGCACGTGTCATTGTGCGCCGACAGAGTGCGTAAATGTCAGGGAATTTACAAGAATGCCACGGAAGTAGAACAGACGAAGCACTCATCACAAATAAACGAGTAAATGTTTAACTACATCTTTCATTATTCATCATCAATCATTAGTTACAGATGTCCTAATCTCACACATCATGCAAATCGCTGCATCCAGGTGTTTAAACCGTCTCCACGCTACCAGGGATACAAGCAGCACGTTATTCAAACTAATCAGTTTTCTCTCCTTCTCCTTTAATGACCGATCGAGGACTCTAGGAAGTTTGTCTTATTTGTTCTCACAGAACTAATAGGCCTTTCAGTAAGATCGTTACAAGATCTGTCCTCGCTTTTTTTCCCCCTCTTGTTTCGTCTTCCTCACCTAATAATCTGCGAAACCATCTGTGCTGAGAGTAAAATGACACGTTGCCCAGCCCTCTCTTTCTGTCATCCAGGCCTGTCTGTATGTCTCTCTGTCCATCATCAAAGCGCCTATAAAAATCACACAGGAAGCAACGAGCTGGGAGGAAAGGGGAGGAGGGGGGCGGGAGGGACAGAACACTCAAACGTCGGAGGCTTGTGGACGTCTCCAATGCACTCGGAGAGGCCATTAATAAAAATAATTAGCGCAGGAGATGGGAAGAAGAAAAAAAAAACATCGGGGCCAGCTTGGCTGATGTAAAATCGCATTTCTGTTATTAAATTTATCAGGAGGCTGAGGCAGGAAATCCACCAATCATTTTGTTGTAGAACAGGCATCGCTATCATGGAAGAACACGTATGTACACACACACACACACACACACACACACGCTGATCGTATCATCGGCCAGAGGGAGCCGTGGGGGTCATTAGTGAAGAAGAAGATCAGATATCAGCAATTAATCTTGGTCAAAATGATTAGAGAGACTCACAGAGAGAGAGAGAGAGAGAGAGAGAGAGAGAGAGAGAGAGAGAGAGAGAGAGAGAGAGAGAGAGAGAGGGAGAGGGAGGGGGTTATTAAGGGGGGGCTCGGCTGTGTGCATTCCTGGTTAAATGTACAATTGTGATGTCGAAGTCATTCATCAAACACGCCCACATAGCGTTAACACACACACACACACACACGGGAGCGAGCGCAGTCGGGGCTCAGGGTCAGAGAGGTCGGGGTGATTATCGTCACTGTAACTCACACAAGGCGGCCGCACGCTGTAGTCGGGTTGGCGGTGAATCATCGGTCTGCACTCCGTGGCAACGCCCGTGAAATTATTACAACGTCGTGGGACAAACCTCTGACAGTAAAGCGAGCGGCATTAAGCCAGTGAGCCTTCACAGATGCCGTAGGTGATCTTTGGACACGTGTGCACTTAATAGCCTGTGCATTGAGTTATCCAACAAACACTATTTTGCAATGGCCGTAGCTAACGGCACTGTAGCTTCAAAAGTCAACGGTCAAAGTGAAAAGCCGCCACCCACAAATCACGGGCAAACTTCAAACATGGCAGTTGTTATAGTGCTCAGACCCCGGTGATGAGCAAAGAGCGTGCAGCAACAGCAAACTCGCAGGTAGCCCATCCGATCATCGATGACGCTGTCCAAGTAACCCGAGTGGAATAACTGGACGTCCCAAGATGTCGCCCCATTCACCGCTCGCATACAGGCCAGAACCAATTTACAGGCTGCTGCCAGAAGCTATTCCAGAGCATCCGCACTAAAGACTTCCTCGCTTCACTTCCCGCTGGCGCCCAGTTCTGAGGCATTCAATCAATAAACACAACTGGAAAAATCCAGAAAGGGCAGCAGGAGAGAGACGGAGAGCCGAGTCGGACAAGCTGAACAATTGAGCCGGCAGCAGGTCTCCATGAATATGAATGCGCACGTGCTCAAGGCCACATCACACGCCGGCCGCAGCGTGGAAAGGTCCAAATGCAGCTTCGCATGAGTCAAGTTCATCAGTACATCACACACACACACACACACACGTCTCAATGGACTTTGCAGGCCCGCACAAAAAAGCAGCCCCCGGAGCCGGCTAAGCTCCCCGAGCTCGCACGGAAACGTCAAAGGACTAGCAAGCAGAAGGCTTCCTCGTCTCTTATCTCAGAAGTCCCTTTGTGCACCTTTCCGATAGGCTTATTGTTCAGAAGGACATTAACAAACACAAAAAGCAGGTATAAAGCCCAACCATCAAAAGCACAGGCTGCTTACTTTATTCGGGTCAAAATCACCTTATTATGGGGCCGAAAACAGCACGGGGCCTTTAGTTTGTTACCTCTGAGTCTTTGTGTACATGTGAATAGTTGTTTTATTTAGACTTCAGTAAAAAATAAAATCTCTGAATCAAAATTTAAATCAAACATACCGAACAATTCCCAGTTAGATTTTCGTCTTTAAGTGGATCGGCAATGCTATGTGTTATCTCGTGTACCTCTTCAAAATATAAGAGCCACACAGCTGCTGGCTTTCATCTGAGGAGCTTGCAGAGAACACAGACACTCCGACAAACACACACACACACACACACACACACACACACATCCGCTCTGCAACCACTAAACAGACAAGCGGCGCCGCTCGGGGAGTCAAATAACTCAGGCAGGCCTCCGTTACTCAGCGTGGCCACTCCTGGTCGCTTCAGCGCTCCAACCGTGCACAGCACTGGCGCTGATGAAAGAATCGAATACTCTGCAAAACACGAGGCCCAATGGAATCGGGCGATGCACGGGGGAGGTACGGGCGGCCTGTCAGCGGGCTGCGAGGGAAGACGGCACGGACGTCTCCTGGCAGACAACACATACACATCCGATCCACAAAACAGAATCAAAACGCATAGAAACGGCGCCCCGCCACACACACTGCGAGAACAACGCCGCTCCAGAACATGGTGCGCTTGTGAAAATCCCCCACTGTTGACCGGGTTCGGAATCAGAAACATTTATGTTTTAAATTAGACTGCGGCCGTGAACATCTACCGACTGCACTAAAGAGACCAAAAGAACATCACTTTGTGCCGCGTCAAACTTTTCAATAACATTTTTACTGTTTGCGGGTCTCGCGAGGGAGTCGTAAAGAAACAAATGAGCCCTGAATCGTGGTAGCGGCTGCGCGTAATAACGCTTGTGATGATAATGGTCGGAGGTTGACTGCAACAAAGGGACAGTGATTGAAAGTATCCTACCGTGGTCTGTGATTTTACAGGACACGAGGTAAAGCTCCTTCAGGCTGCGGCCCTCCTTGGCGATGATTTCCACGCACCTGCAGGGAAAAACACACACATAGAGAAAGAGAACAAATGTTTAAAGCCTGAGCTGCCACACACACACACACACACACACACACACACACAGGGTTGCAAGGTTAAACAGTATTGCTGAAGGGGTCACAACACACATATATTCACAAACGTCAATAATTAAACTCCTGATCCGAAACTCCTCCAGAGTGAGAAGTGTGCACCAACGTGGGTGTTTTTTTTCTGCACGTGAATGTACACACACACACACACACACACACACACACACACACACACACACACACACAGAGAGCGAGCGAGGGCTTCAAAGAGGTGTATCTGCATGCAGCCCAGTGCCTGAGCCCAAAAGACCTACAGAGTGTGTGTGTGTGTGTGTGTGTGTGTGTGTGTGTGTGTGTGTGTGTGTGTGTGTGTGTGTGTGTGTGTGTGTGTAAAGGGGTGGAGGAAGGTGCCTCCACTGGGGAGGACAAAAAGGAAGATCAGAGTCTCTGTATCAAGTGATTCTCTTTAAATGCCTCTAATGAGAGGAGTGTGTGCAACAACTAGATTTTGATCTACACATTTGACCTATTAACCTTCAGGAGCTAATGTTTGGATATTCGTGCCGCGGTTTCATCATGAATATTTATGAGACAGAAATGAGACAAGCACACACACACGAGTACTATGCTACAATATAAAGCAGAGAGTGATAAAAAGAGGATGTTGAGCTGTCTTCCATCATTGCGCTTCATGTCAAAGTTAAAAAGGGAACAGCATTGTGCACTGAGCTTTCACGCAACATGACTGACAACCGCATTGCTAATTTCCACCTGCGATCCACTGGCAACGCGGGCCGAGCCCGATGCTTCTTGAGAGAATCTGAGCTCCTCTGCTTTCATGTTTTTTTTATGCCCCGTCCTGACTGTCGAGCAAATAACAGGAGTGAAAATAGGATGCAGATCAACAGGGAATCCGGTTCCCTGTTATGATGCGTGCGTGTTTTTCGTGCCCCCGGGATCCACTGTGGATGACGCGATTCATGCGACGTGTGACATATCACACATGCCGGATCAAGAAAAGATACGACGCCAGTGGGGAAGAAGTTAAAAATGTGTCATAGACCTCTAGATTTCTACAAAACCTGTTTTGTGAGGGGAACGGAAGCTGTTGAAAAGTGCACTGGCCTCTCTGCTTTAGTTCACTCGGCTGCATCTCCATATTGCACATTTTCATTACATTTCCTGTCGCGGTGGCCCTGCGAGCCTCTCCGTGTTTTCAAGGGGTTTGTTTTTTTTCCTAGCCTTCATTGTCCTCCCACCGCCGCCTGTTTATCTCCCCCCCATCCTCTTTTTATTCAATCTTTCTCTCTTTCTGAGAAAAAAAAAACTCCACCCTTGAAAACGGAGAAAGACCTGTTGCAATGTGTCATCCTGTGGGAAGCCTGAGATTAGATTCGGCTCGGGCCGGCAGCGTCACAATATGGCGCCTTGCGTCTCGGGGTTGTGGCATTATAGCTGCTAATGAATGAAAGCGCTGGGGAGCGTCGGTGAGGAAACAAGATAAGAAGGCGGTAGCGATTCGGGGGGGGGGGGTCGCCGCCAAGGAAAAAGTGCAATCCTCTGGGACCTTGCTACACTCTGCCGGCGTCCCCGGGGTCAGAGCACAGAGCAATTAGATCAGACATCAATGAATGATGGCGGCAGCGGGGGAGAGAAGAACCCAGTGCAGCAGGAAACAGAGGTGGAACCTCTAGGCAGTCGCTGAGGGTTAACCGGAGACAGAGGGGGGGGGGGGGAGGGGGGATCGAAGGGAGCAAGGGAGAAGGAGAGGAAAGGGTAACAGGCCATTAATAAGGCCGGAGGGAGGCAATGTGAGCGGACGGAGGCCGCAGCAGTGGCGGCGTTTGGATCACCTGGCCGAGGCACGGACGGCGCCACATAAAAAGGCCTCAGGCGAAGCAACAAGCTCCCTCCCGCCTCCACTCGCACCCCACAAGCCCCCCCAGGCGGACATGAATTAGTGATCTCCTCGCTTCCAATAATGTAAAGCGCCTGTGAAAAAGGTGCCCGTTGCACACGGAGCGCATACTGAACATCAGGATGGAGGCGAGGCAGATAACGCCCCAGGAGAGGGGACAGCGGGTGGGACAGCGTGGCGAGGCGGCAGAGCCGGAGAAGCCGGTCGCTCCATGAGAGAGAGAGGAATGAGAATGTGGAAACGAAGAAGGATGAAGAGCAGGATTCGAGTGACAATGAGAGAAAGAAAAAACCTTGTCTTTCAGAGAGGGGAAGGAGGAACATGAAAAAGGAGGAGCGATGCCGAAGGTGCGTCTGACGGAGGATTAGGGGGAGAGGCTAATGAGGTGAGGAGGAGAAATGTGGAGGATCGAGGTGACGAAGATGAGGACACGCCGTGAGACGCCGACGAGTGGAAATACGGCGGAGGAAGAAAAGCAAAGAGGGGAAATTGGAGACAGGAGGACGTGTCATCGGTGAAGAAAGAAGTGCCGTGTAGAGGTAAAGTGGAGGAGGAGAGGAGGCAGACAGAACCAGATGACAGAAATGAAGGGGGAGGTTAATTAGGATGATTTTGAGGAGAAACGGAGAAACGTGCGAGGCGGCGGAGACGGGGAGGAAGTGACAATGGGGAGTGCGGTGAGAGGCTCTGGTGAATATCACAGACGCCTAATGGAGCCTTTTGTTGCATCTGTGTGGCTACAAATACATACAACTCAAGGCCACTATGTTTTTTTCCCCTCCAATAAAACTGTCTCCTTGACAACAAAGACCTGGGTGTGAGATGACAGGCGGGTGGGGGTGAGGGGGGGGGGCATCGGGGTCGCCGCGTTTTGGCTCACTGTCACCACGAGAGGCGAGCGATAACTCCTCTCTCTCTCTCTCTCCAGCCCCTCATTGGAGTCTCGTACTAACAGTCTCGGTTCGGCTCTGGGCGCGTCCTGGATTTGAGGGGATTTCTGTACCTTAAACATAAACTCGGCACACATTTTATATCTAAATTGAATCACTGGAGCCACACAACTGGACCTGGAGGGCTTTGCTTTACCTTAAAGCATATTTTATCTGTAATTGTGTTTTGCTGCAAGCCAGATGATGCTGCCAGCCAAAGAATTTAGCCTTTGTTCGACTCTGAAGGATAAGAGGCTGCATTAGGAGTCCGCAAAAATAAAAGAGACTCGAAGTCCAAAGTGATACATCGCCCGTACGACTGTAATGAGCGAAAAAGGTTTTTACTTAATAACCAAGGTAACATTTTTCAGAGCACCTGTAACCCAAAGTCGCACTTAAATGATCTCGCTGAAACAGAGCAGAGCCGATGCAGCTGTATATTTTCAATAGCATTAGAAGAGAGAACTGTAACTTGCGTTGCTGATAGACGACTGCTCTTGACTTAGAGTTTCTCATGAGAAAACGCAATCGTATTGCTTTGGAACCATGGTAACCACATCGGCGCTGATTCATCTTCTGATTGAGGGAAGCATTGTCCGGGGTCTTCACTTATGGACGAGGCCGTGAGGTACGGCGAGCTAAGTACCGTTAGTCAAGGTAGAAACGCACTTGTGGATGTTTTTCCCGTTTTTTATTTCCCAAAATGAAATTAGTTCTTGGACCACGTTTACCCGGCATGTGCTCTCCACAGTGCATTAGCTCACTGAAATGCATTACTACTCATCTCTTAGTGGCAACAATATGAACAAACGTCGTCTATGTCATTGACGTACGCCGAGTAGCATCACAGCTAAGAGTTTGGGGGTTTTATAGCTCAGATACGATTCTAAATGGAGAAAAATAAATGTTGGAACAGCGTATTCAGTGGGTTTGAATGTGTTCCATAGTGAAGAAAAGGAAAATGTTCTTTCTAGTCAATGCCGCGGTGGAGATATAGAGACAGCAAGGGGCTCTAGCGGTCATCAACGTGTGACTTGACCAGTGTTGACCAGCACAAGCATGGAGAACCTGACCGACCGACCCGCAGAGTACAGCTTCGGTCTACGCTCCACGCCGCACTTCAAGCTCTACTGTTTAAAGCTCTGGAGTTTAAAGCTCTACTGTTCCCACACGGTTTATCTTGTCATTTCCTATTTGTGACCGGCATCTTTAAACGGTTATAAAACCGTCTCAATGATCCAAACTCGCTCGAGATCTCCTCTCTTTATGCAGCGTGCGTGCTAATGTGTCACTGGCCCCTTTGAGGCCAACACATGTCCAGGTGTTTGAAGCGGGTTCATTTGGTTTCATTATTACAACTGCTCTCATTCTTCCAATCCCCTCGCCAAACTATTTTCCACACACTGCAAAGAGTCCAGAGTGAGGCTCACCCAGGAGCTGTGGGACAAGAGAGGAGGGAGCGGGGGACGTTCGCTCCCTGTGTCCCTCCGAGGAGCGGCGTAATCGTTTTCCCGGAGGTATCCGGGCAGACAGGCAGCGAGGGGGGAAGAATAGGGGGCACAACTTGAGAGGAACCAGAGGTCCACGTTTATCACAAAGGCCGCAGACGCTCCTCCAGCCAAGCAACATGTGTAGCGCTTCCCTCTAGCTCGCCGATGACAATGGGCGCGCCGACAAAGAGGCTGCTGGGAGAGTCCGTGGCTGTAGGTGGGCACGCTAGCACGCCGCCGACCAACACGAGGCCCCGTCTCATCCCGCTCCTCGCGCGGCCCGCAATTACACGGCTGTCTCGCCACACAAAAGGAGCGGGGGAAATAGAAATGGATGATTTTCGAGGGAGGGGTATGGAGAAAGGCGGTTGAAGGTCTGGGGAGAGGTTGAGAACATAAAAGGGGGAGGAGGTGGGGGGAGGCAGCGATGACAGACGAGACCTCAGACTTCCATGGCCGTCTTTGGACTTAATGAAATGGAAGGGCGGAGCAGCGAGGATGAGGAGAGCAAAGCAAGACGGCGGGTGTGTTGGGGATGGGGGGGGGGAAACTTCTGAGAACGCTCTTGCAAAATGATTCCTGCTGTAAATTTTCTTTATATCGCCCATAAATCCATACAGAAGT